ACCAAATGTAGATAGAAAAATGTATGCGTGAAGACAGTGTGTTCCGCCCCCCCTTCGGGGGGGGGGGCCCACTTCGTTAAAAATAACCCTACCCACCCTATGTCAGAGGTGTGGAGTGGATCTCGTTTGCTCGGTCAGTCTGCGCCGCGAGAAGAAGCGTGCGCGCGCGTGTGTGTGTGTGTGTGTGTGTGTGTGTGTGTTCAATCCGTACCGACCGTTGCGGGAGGGGGTAGGTGTGACCTTGTAAATGAAAATGGTAGTTTGTATATGATTTTAAAGGTAGCTACACAGGCATTTTAATAAAAATTACTAAGAAAAAGTATTAAAATTTTTAGTTTTCAATTTGTTATATCTCCTAAACCAATGCCGTCCCCCACTTGATTCTTGCGGGGAATTACTCAGAAAACTCTCCCCTACAACATATCCATGTGGCGAGGAAATCAGTGAGGTGTGACCTTTTCTGCATATTTACCTTCCATTGTAATAAATTATATTGTCGCAATGTTAAATAGAACCTATACAAATAAGTAATGCGTTTAAACAAAGCAATCTGTGCCATTTGAAACGAAATATTATTTTTAATTTTAGTAAATCGACGGTCATAATTTAATCCCTTATTTTCCAAGGCGCTTCTTCAATATTTAAACTTACTACAAAACTGTATTTTTTATTTCAGATTAACTTACAAATCATTGCAGTCTCTGCTGATAATTACACGGCGAGCTTGAGTAAAATGAACGTGAACGCTGACGTCGTAACGCAAGATGTGAACGAGACACCTCTCATTCTCGAAGCACACCTTGTTATAGCAGCGGAAGTTTTGTCCAATCAATCTTATACCGTTCTCAAAAATTTGGCTGCTGCCTTAAAACCTGGTTGTTTCATTCTTCTGGAGGAGACCGCTGCGCGACTGGATTTGGAAACCGCATTGAAAGATACTGACTTAACATTAGCTAGCAGACAAACTGATCCTGTAGGAAAGACTTACTTGTTGTTGAAGAAACGGCAGAAAGGGAGAAAATCGACAGTAATTCATATCACAGAGAAAAATCTATCGTGGCTGGAAGGTGTGAAAGCAGCATTGAAGGAATCTGTCAGCATAGATCAAGAAGTGCTCCTTGTATCACAGGGCGAAGAAACGCTTGGTAAAATTACAGAAAAAATTAACTTTTAAACTGTCCCCTTAACTGCCCTGTTTCGAAGCCGGAAGAAATGTTTTATCATTGTTTCTTCGTAGGCTTGGTCGGGCTCATGGCTTGTATACAATGCGAGATAGGCGACGCATATGCGCGTTATGTCTTTATCCAGGACAAGAACGCTCCCAAGTTTGGCTTATCCA